TCTAGAAGAATCACCAACAGAAGCAGAAAGCACTGGACTTTGGGACTAACCAGCAGTGCGCATCCAATACCAAGGATCGAACTCGAACCGTTACGATAGGATGTAAGGGTCATCCCCACTGGAACAATGAGTCTCGGTGAAGGAGAGGTAAAAGGCAGACTCGTTATACCGTTAGCTCTTCACAAATTCCGTCGTGTGACTCCTCCGAATTTACTTATACCAACGGACTGTGTCCCCATGAGTCCCGACTTCTGTCCTTAAGCCGCTCCATTTGGAGCTTTAGAAGCCGGTTCAAGCAGTGATACTTAAATAGAAATTAAGTGAGATTTGAATAATCATAATTAATTCGTCGGGTCTAGAAGAATCCTCAACAGAATTTAGAAAGCAATGGACGGTAGTTTATTCCTATTTTTGAGACTCGTCAGCAGTGCACATCCACTACCGCGAAATAAACACAAACCGTTATGATATGAAAGATTAATAACAACAAAAACACTGTCAATAAACTAGATAAAAACAGGCATACAATACTAAATATTAACACCTAAATATCTACTAAACAATTTCTCCAATCTTATAAATATCAAAATTATTACAACCATATTAAAAACTACTATAGATACGATCAGAAACAAAATGTCCAGAAACACTAATAACTCCGAAGTAAGTATATATTAAATAATCTGTCGCAGTTGTGTTTGTTTTTTGTTTTTTTCATATTTTGGGAAATCTTACTGAAATTACGTATTTGCGATCACAAAAATATAATTTATTCAATAAATCTCCATTGGCTTCAACCTGCAAATGGCATCTGAATCTACTGCACAGCTTTCCGAGGGTCTCCATGTATAAGTTTGTGAATGCTGCCGTAATCCTTGCCTTTAGTTCATTTTTGGTATTAAAAGGAGTTTTGTTGGTTTCTCCGTCAACTGCGTCCCACACATAATCAAAGGAGTTGCAGTCTGGGGACAAGTGTGGCCAGATGCAAGGAGTGATGTGGTTGTAGAAATGATATGACAGCCATGACAGTTTTATCCTGCTTTTGTGTCATGGTGTCCTGTCGCCAGTCATAGGGTATTCCAGTAGCCACCGTCTTGACCCAGAGCGGCACTACCACCCTGTGGAAAGACGAATTTAGCTATAGACTCGCTATCACTATTGATCATTCCAAACAGAATGATGTTGAATAGATATATCAACCAACTCTTTCCGAATCGTCTGCACTCTCCTTAGATTGACACCAAAAGTCACTGAAATTTCTTCCGGTGCAAATGTCAAGCAGTACAGCATGCCTTTTCTAAATTTCTGACGGAGGGATTTGCGTCATGGTGCTTTTTTTTCCACAGACGGTGCCCCACTGACCTTACTATGCAGTCGATAAAATAAAAAAAACAAACAACGCGTAGGATCGAAATTAAATTTTAAAATGACGACAATTTACACATCGCTCCCTGTACGTTTAGAAAATAAATCAGTTATACAAGCACGACAAAAGCTGAATAAAAATCATAATCGCTGTACCTTTTTAATTAATCTATATCAATGAAATTGGTATTAAGGCGGGGTTTCTGATCAAATACGCAATATATATATATATATATATATATATATATATATATATATATATATATATATATATATTTAAAAAAAAAGACGGACCACGTTAAGATTCCATCTTAACGTGGTCTGTCTTTTATTCAAACATATATGCTCTGAATCTTACATTGAGCTCTCTGGATATCATCCTCCTCAGGTTTACCCATACGGATTACCTAAATTTGAATAAACTATATATATATATATATATATATATATATATATATATATATATATATATATATATATATGTGTGTGTGTGTGTTTGTGTGTGTGTGTGTTCCCATTCAGTTGACTGAGCATCGTCGTTTAGTTTCCTCGAGTATTTTGTGTATCCTTTCATATTTGTGTCGAAATGGCCAACGTGATTCTCGTTGAAATGTTAACGAGAACTCCGCTGCTATTGTTTGACCAGTATCTCTTCCGACACTTCAATTTTCGAAGCAGGCTGACAACAGTCACAATGGATAATGAAGTAACGTACTCAATGTTAACTTGTGAGGTGTGTTTGCACTTGCTTTGTGGATTGTTTTTTTTTATAGTAGTTACTTTATTTGTTTTGATGAGTCGGTTTTTCCTTTTTTTCTTTTTCTTTTTTGATTTTGTCCGTGCTTGAGTCCGGATTTGCTAGCTTCTGTTCACGACCGCGTGAAATGATTCTACGTGTTGAATAGGTAATGAAAAGAACAAGAAAAGATATGAAAAAAAAACAAAAAAAATACAACGTGTGATAATACGGGGAGAGTTAAAGAGGAAAAGAAAAATAGAAGATAAAAAGAAGAAAAATAATAATGAAAAGGAATGAAAAAAAAATGGAACTAAAAGAAGTGGGAAAGTGAACAGAAACAAAGGTAAGGAAATCATGATAGAAGATAAAAAAAGCTCAGTTGCATTGGTTGATTTTGTTTAACGGTATATCAACACATCAGTGGGTCATTAATTCCGAAATCAAAATAATTTAAATAAAGTTTTATAGCTTAAAATAAATATATTTTGAACACAATTGTATGCATATTATTTACATTATTCGGACTATTGTCCTCATCTTTGTCGCCATATTTATCACAACGTTTCGGCCATTGTACGCTCCGGCCTTCTTCAGGTGGTTGGAATGTCGAACTGAACCCTATATTTCGCTCACTGGGGTATTCTGTTCTAGTTCCACGCGCCATGTTTTGATGGATGTCAGTTATCAGTTATATCCTGTTAATTTTCCCTCTGAAAGTTCTCCACTCCCTTAACCGGGTATTGACCTCGCACTCTTTGGGTCCTTTCACTGGATCTAACCAACGCCTTTATCCACTGTGCCATGTGTCCTTGAACAGTCTACCCCAATATGTACATAATACCTCATCTCAGAATTATAGACAGACAATTGTATGTCTTAAATTACTTATAAGATATATTTTTAGTCATCTTGCTTTATAAATGTATGGTTGCTTATATTACTATAAACATGTATTGTTGGTACTTTTTATATAAAACTCTATTTTTAACTATAAAAACGTAATTTTATAATTAGAATTTTGATTCCTGGTTCATTATTTGACCTTAACACGTACTATCACCTTTGTCAGGGGTGAAACTGGGAACAACATCAATTACGATGCTGTTTATCTTCATAACCAGCACTTGAAAGAAACTACGAAAATAGCCCAAAGAAAGAAAGAATGAAAAAAACAAAATAAAAAAGAAAGAACCTGTGGGAGATGGAAAATTAAAGCGAAATAAAAGAAAGAAAACGAAGAGAAATGAAAGAAAAAGGAAAGAAAGAAGAAAGTAGTGGAGAGTAGGAGGAGGTGGATGAAAAATAAAACAGAAAGACTTCGACAAAAATAATGAAAGAAAAAGTGTGATATGGGAACGAACACAAAGGAAAGGAAATGATGAAAGCAGAAGAAAGAAACGCTCAGTTTATTTGCTCGATTTTGTTTAGCGGTATATCAATTCATCTATGGGTCATTTAATGTCGAAAACTAAACAATTTGAACACTTTTATGGCTCCAACTAAATATATTTTTTATCCTTTCAACTACAGATAAAATGTATTGTTAGTAATTCTAATATAAAATTGCATTTCTACATATTTTCCTTTAAAATTATATCTATTAAAATACTTGTTTACTATAAATATGAATATATTATTGGTAATTTACTATAAATATGTATTCTTAGTAATTTTATTATTAATATCTATTATAGGACAATGTTTATATCATTATATATTGTTGGTATATTTTTATATAAAAATGTATGTTCATACTTTTATAGTGTTTTTTTTTTGCTTTGGGGGGTCACTCTTATATCACAATAAGTTGGGACCCTAACTGATGCTACCCCCTCCACCTGGTTCAGTGTGGATATGAGTTTGAGGTTCCTTGATAATTCTAAATCCGTATTAAGGGTTTTTCTTTGTTCTCGGTCAGGTAGAATTATTAATTTCCATTTTTGGAAGTCTTTCGTCCTCCAAAATTCTTCCTTTCTCATATTCGTATCTCACCCATACCCTCAGAGGGTGTCAACGAGTTTCCCCTCTCTCTCACAGTGTCATCTCAACCCGATCCCTTCAGGAGGGCGTCAACAGCCCCACCTCCTTCTTCACATGATTACCTTCGCCTACCACTCACGCCACCATTCAGACAATGGGCGCTCAGCGGCGCGGGTGTGGCCGGACTAGCCTCGGTTTAAAAAATCTTGCTCGAAGAATAAAAATTTATCTTCCATTTTTTTTCTTTTTCTTTTCTTTCTCTTTCTTCTTCTCGACAACAAATCCTTAGACACTTATCTTAACCGAATGCCACCTGGACTTTATCAATAGAGACCTTCGTCAAACAAGTGGATGATCATCTGGCGATATCCACAGCCAATTATTCGTTCTGATAAAATAATTTTGCTATCATGGCCAGCTCTTGGCATAAAACAGGTGCCTTTTCCAAACGACATCTCCGTAGATAGCTAATGGGTCAGGCTTTCTTTCTTTGTAACTCTGTGGTTGGTCCAACGGACATTTTTGTTTTTCACGGCCCAATTAATTTTTTTCTCTTACAATTCTGCCCTGTAGGCCACCTGACCGACCTGAAATTTTCACCATTGCCATACTCGGTGCGCCGTCATAAATCAAACGCGACAGATCCGCGACCTTACTTTCTTCGCTAATGAAAATAAAAATCTTTACCACTTTTACTTGTTTAGAAAAAAAAATAACATCGTCTTTTCGTGATAGATTCTTATCACCTAATTTAATTCTCGCCTTTTTTTTTCGCAACCCTAAATAGTGTCACACCTCTGAAAGGATCGATTTGACGAGGCTGTTTAAGAACATGACTAGAATTTTCAGGTTTATGTTTTTTTTTTTTTTTTTTTTTTAGTGCATCCTAATTTATGTTCATTTAAAATGAAAGTATTCAAAAGAAATAAACGGAAGGAATAAAAATGAATGACATAGAAAATAAAGAGGGAAATAATGAAAGAAGAAAAACGAACGGAATATTAATGGAAGAAACATTGAACATAAAAGCGAAAGTGAAGAAAAGAAAGCAGAAAAAAATTGAAGGGCAAGGAAGAAAGAAAATAAAGAAAATATGGAAAATTAAGGAAAAATGAACGAACCTGGAGGAAGTAGAAAAGAAATAAATCAGAAAAAATAAAAAAAAAAACAACAGAGAAGTTTAATATGAAAACGAGATCGATGAAATATAGAATAGAAAGACTTAGAAAAAATAATGAAAGAAAAAGAGTGATATGGGAAATGACACAAAGGAAAACGATGGATATAGAAGAAAGAAACGCTCAGATGATTTGATCGAATTTCTTTAGCGATATAAAGAACGAAACAAAGAAAGAAAATGAAATGAGGCCGAATATGTAGGAAAGAGAAAAGAAAGAAGAAACAAGGTCTATAAAGAACACAGTGATAAACTTAGAAAAAAAACATGAACGTGTCTAAAAAGTTTAACCGTCTGCCGGCGCACGTATTTAATTTTATATTTCTGTTAAATGTTAGTGTTCCGACGTTGGTAAAGAGAGAATAGTTTGAAGTTCGTTTTTTTTCATGACATATTAACTACTTAGATAAAATAAGTTTAATTATGTTCATTCCTTTACCCTTGCGCCTTACTAAGCGAAATTTACTAAATAAATAAATGATAATTCCGAATTCAAATCCGGAGCATTAAAACAGTCAGTTTCTTTCTGGCAACACCCGCGAAGACGCCGGTGCCAACCTGCATTGACCAATGTCGCTAACATTGTCGTGCTGCATCGTCGAAATTTCATTAAAAAACTTGTGAGCGTATAACACTTTGAGATCAGATCCATTGTCTGATTCCTAATATTTTCATCTCTTTTTTTTTAATGACTTTTCCTCTTTTCTTTCAGTTATTCCTTTTTGTTACTATTTGTCTCCTGTCATTTCTGTAGACATGTTATCGTTTATTTTTTAAATATTGAGCGTTATGTATAATCGCTCAACGACCTGGTTTTAAAACCTACGCAATATAATCTTTGCAATTTCAATTTATTGTATACCTTATACTAATATGTAACTGAATATTGCGAGATATATTCAGAATAATAATTACTCGTGAGAAAGATGAAACTTATGGAAGAATTATTTAAGAAACGGGAGATATGGAGAAAGATAATGGTGAGCTGGAGAGAGAGAAAAACGAAAAGAAATAAATGACTTGTAATCTAAAGAACTGTAGGGTTGTTTTCGGAAATTCTGCTGAAGGAAAACAATCAGGCAAACATCGACATTGTGGCGTGAACTGACGTTTCGTACGTGTCCTGATTACCTGAGCCACATTGTTCAGCATAGGCAACTGTCACATCGGCTTCTACCGTCAACTGGCCTGAATACAAGTTATTCAGCTCAAGCTCAGCATGTCCATTCATTTCACGAAAGCCAGCAGAAACAAAAGGTAAATGAAATAAAGATATTTATTCTACATAATATTGAATCGAACATCATTTATATGCGGAGTTTCTTCAGGACGTTGGTGATCAACATTCTCCATATCTTCCTGACTTTTGTTATTCATAGTATTTTTTTTAATTCTTGACTGTCCATCTTTGTCCTTGTTCTGCTATACAGTCACAAAAAATCCTTAACGCTTCGTTAGTTATACAGGATGTTTTTCTAACCCAACTTTTTTAAAGTAGTCATAATTCCTTGTTTGAAACGTGTTTCTTTCGTTACCTCTCACAACAGTAAAGGAGTTATAGCTCAGTTGTAGTGGAAAACAGTCGTCTTTTTGTCTCCCTCGACTGTTTTGCCCTCCAAAGGTAAGTTTTCGCTTTCATGATATATATATATATTTAGTTTATGCAAAATTAGGTAATCCGTATGGGTAGACCCAAAGAGGATGATATCCGGAGAGCTCAATGTAAATTCAGAGCAGATGTGTTTGAATAAAAACAGACAAATTTAAAGTTCCATGTAATAAATTATTTCACCACAGCCCTTTTAAAGGGCTTTGGATCATCAGACTTTACTTCCAAAGGTTGAAATGAAGTACTTTGGAAGTAAAGTCTGATGATCCAAGCCCTTTAAAAGGGCTGTGGTGAAATAATTTATTACATGGAACCTTAAAGTGGTCTGTTTTATTCCCCAAAAATACATACCTATCTATCTATATATATATATATATATATATATATATATATAGTGGACTCTCCCGTCATATTCAACGTATGTGGGTCAAGTAGCTCAGTTCCTAGGAACGAACAGTCAGACAGTAGTATATGAGATTTGATTATAGTGGTGAAGTCTTTGTGCAGAACTAACCACACATTTTGAAGGGCCGATTACAGAGACCTGGTGCACAACCTCCCGCACATTTTGAATTCAGATTTTCCCTTCTCTTAGACCAATTAACATCCAAGGCTATAGGACCCTCTCTGTCCTTCTATTTACTATTTAGGTGGAGAGAGAATAGGATTCATATGATATTAGCGAATGTAATGGATTCGACTGGAATTCTAACTCGTCTCTCAAAGCCTAAATGACTGATAAATTTATAAATATGCAAGATAATATCTGGAGAGAAAAATTGTCTTGCACGACACAGGAAACCAACTTTTCCAGCAACAGACCTAGGAATTGGTTCAATATAAAATGTGCACATCATGACAGCAAAATAATTTTGCGCAAGTAGGGGCAATAATTTTCTCTGCTGAAGGTTAGCGTCACCCATTCTGATGGAAGGTAGAAAGAGGTCTCTCTGAAAGCAGTTTTTCTCTGGATCCCTTAAAATAAGCAAGCCATTCCCTGACCAAGGTAACAGCATATTTTAGCTCACTTTCAAAATCAGCTGATAAGTTGATCTTTTCGGACGGATCAGAGTCTCCATTAAGATAGGATTAAATAGTTGTTTCACCAGCATAGATACGATTTGAGAGCTGAAGACTTTACTGGGGCAAATTACGATTCAACGTAGGTTCAAAGATAAATCCCTGGGAGAATAGCTATATTCATGGAAAAACATCTAGAAGAGTGACCATTCAGGATAACTTCCATTTCATGACTCGATAAGAAAGAAAAATTTGTCCAGAAAATTCGCCCAGAAAATTTAAAAAGAGCTTTCATGTTTTCTGTTGAGAAACGACAAATTATTAAATGAACTTGAGTTTAAAAAAAAAATGATCGGCTAATTACAAATTTCAAGTTTTAGGAACCTGCTCTAAGACATACGGTTTAACAGTGCCCTCATGTACATAATTCGTGATAAAATGTCGCTGTAGTTTGTGAAGAATTCATTATTAACTTTGTACAATTTTCCCGGCATTTGGCGCAGTGAGATTTACACGAATTAAAGATCAACTACAGATTAACTTTCTTACAAACGTACAGCCAGATAGAGATGTATGATAATACGCTCATACAAACGAAAATTAAATTAAAAGAGAAGCAGAGAATTTAAATTCCACTGACGATTTTGAAAATTTGGTAATTGCTTACAACTTCAACTCGCGAGGTGTAGCGTATAGCGAGCTATTCGAGTTGGCAATACTAAATACAGAATTCAGTCCCCAAGCTTGCCCGGTATTTGCGACCTCGCGTAAGCTCAGTTTATTAAATTACAATGGATGTCTCTGCATGTGGTAATTGTTAGCGAGCTAGTCATTTTTACCATTATTACTATGAATTTCGTGTAGTCGCAATATGGACTCCCATTCTGGATGTCTTTTATATAACATAGATAAGCGCAGTAAATAAAAATGGATACCTCTGCATAGGAAAAGTTTTGAGCGAGCTTGTCTGGTTGACAATGTTTACTGATCAATGAGTTGAATCCTCACTGGGTGCCCTAATCTTCTGACCTTGTACGAACTAAAGCTAAGATTGTTAACAATCGGTGTCGCTGTGTTGGGTAATGGGTAGTTAGCATGTAATTTTAATTTTCTTTTATAGAGTAATTAATCTCATCCAAGTATGGAACCCTATTTTTCTGACCCTGTGCCAAACAAAGCTAAGCTCAGTTATTAACCATTGGCGTTTCTGCATATGGTCATCACTAATGAGTAACTCTCTTTTACCACTCTTACTGAGTAATCGTGCTATCTTCATATAGAGCCCCATTTTTGTAACCTTTTGGCAAACTATTCCAAGCTCAGTAAATAACAGTTGGTGTCTTTGTGTGCGATAGTGGCTAGTGAGTATGACACACTTACCATTATTGCCCTTTAATTAGTGTGATCTTCATATAGAGCCGAAATGTTGTAGCTTCCTTCCAAACTAAACTAAGCTCGAGGAAATAAACATAGGTTTCTATGCGGGTGGTAATGGCTGGCGAACAAAAGAATTTTACCATTATTACCGATTAGTTAGTGGGATCTTCATCTGGAGTCCCATTCTTTTACCCTTGTGCCAATTTGAACTCAGCTCCGTAAATTACCATTAATGTTACTGCGTGTATTAATGGCTTGCGAGGAAGACACTTATATCTTTATTACTTTTTAGTTAGTGTAATATTTCAAACGAGCTCTATTCTAGTAGCCTTGTGCCAAACTAATCTAAACTCTGTAAATAACTATTGGTTTCTCTACGTATGGTAATGGCTATCGATGTAGACACTTTTAACATTATTACCTAATAGTTATTGGGATATTCTTATGGAGCCACATTCATGTAGCCGTGTGCTAAACTCATCCTAGCTCAGTAAATAACCATTGGTGCTTTTGCTTGTGGTAATGGATGGCGGGCAAAACATTTTTACATTTGTTACTGAGTAATTAGTGTGATCTTCATATGGTGCCCCATTTTTGTAGCCTTGTGCAAAATTAATCTTACCTCAGTAAATTACAATTGGTAACTGCGTTTGGTAATGGCTAGCGAGCAAAACAGTTTTACTCTTATTACTGAGAAGTTAGTGAGAATTATATCTTCTCGAAGCCCAGGAATCGCTCGTCACAATGTTGTGTTTGTTTGTGATTTATTTCGAAAAGATTCGTTCTTATTCCGGTTGACATAAACAAGAACATATAAATAATAAATAAACATAATAAGGATAATAATAAAAATGCTGCTGCTGCTAGTAAGACTAAAAGTAAAATTTAAAAAAATAATAATAGCTATATAGTAGAAATATTAATGATATAATGATGAAAATAACAAATTAACATGAATGCTAAATGCATCATAGTCTAATAATAGCAGTAACAATAGATATAGAGCTAAGATAGCAAAATTAATATAGTAAAGATATTAATAAAATAATTAATAATATCAATACGAGTATTTATTGTCTTCAGGGCAGCTACACTATATTAATCTGGGTGAAGGTATTTGAGTAGAAATTTGTTCTAGGTAAGCAGGTCTTCATTAACTCATTTCTTCTGTTTAAAAGAACTGGACTGTTCATAATTTTAGGATCATTAATTTTCAGAAAGACATAAGTAACATGTGTCTCATTTCTTACTGAAGGGTTTAGCTTTCCATACTCATTCCCACGTGGTAGTTGAGTTTTGAAATTAAATTGGGCAGTGCTCTTATATTTGATATTGCTTAATGTCATTTGCTGGTAGCAGAAGCGCGATTTCGAATGGTTTTCATCAAAACCCACATAAAACATGACTTCTTCGCCATATTTGATTTCAGCTTTATAGACTAACGATTTGGTCATGCATTTGCCGTTTAATGGGCAGGTGTTCTTTTTTCGACAGTTGCTTGTACATTTACCTATATTTATTCATTTGATTATATTTTGCTGTTTTCAACAGAGCACTTTTACAGGTGAATTTAAATCACCAAACAATATGCACTAATCGTCATGGGGTATGCAGCCTTTTCATCTGAACTACACAGAACATTCTGATCCGAGGTAAAAAAGATTACGAACGGATTCTTCTCCAAAAAATAGAGAGTCTCATTAAGAGGATGTGGTGAAATATGTTCTTCGTCAAGCGCAAACATGAAAATGTCAACCGGAATAAGAACGAATCTTTTCGAAATAAATCACAAACAAACACAACATTGTGACGAGCAATTCCTGGGCTTCGAGAAGATATAATTCTCCATTAATAATAAGATCAAATTCAACAAAGACACAACAAACTAATATATATATATATATATATATATATTTATAAATATATATATATATATATATATATATATATATATATATATATATATATATATATAATATCTTTAATCGCTACACATATTTATGTAGGCAGCATTATTATTTTACTTAAAAAAAAAAAAGTGATGTATACCGGACTGGGTATTAGTGAATCTTGGAAAGATATTGTACCTCTCAGCAGCATTTCAGAATATATCTATCTACACACACACACGCACAGACAAACACACAAACACACACTCACACGCACGCCTATATATATATATATATATATATATATATATATATATATATATATATATATATATATATAGAGAGAGAGAGAGAGAGAGAGAGAGAGAGAGAGTGTGTGTGTGTGTGTGTGTGTCTGTGTTTTGTGTGTGTGTGTGTATATACTTGCTTTAATAGGCTCCCTTAGGAGACAGACATACACGGAACATGTTTCGAGTATGCCTATCTGCTGGGGGGTCCTATTAAAAGCAAGTTTCTTTTTTTCACAGTTACATACCCAGCCTGAATGATATACGAAAATGATACTGTTAAGATTCGTACAGCAGAGATCATAATCCATCGTGATATATATATATATATATATATATATATATATATATATATATATATATATATATACAAATGAGAGAAAGGACAGATAGATTAAAAATACACTTTTCGTAGCATTTACTTTTTTAAAAGCGTTGAATAAAAAGTTGCGCAATATATTATAATATAATAATAAAATATAATAATATATATATATATATATATATATATATTATAGTAAAAATAATAATATATATATATATATATATATATATATATATATATATAGTAAAAATAATAATAACAATAATAATAATAATAAAAAGGCTTAAACACTTATATTCCATGGTCATAATTTATTCAACTGGAATCGTAAATACGATTCAATTCAGACCTACGATTCTAATGGAATAAATAATAACCATGGAATATTAACGTTTACGCCTTTTTATTATATCCTTACTCTGTCCTGGACATTGAGTTCTACCTGGATTCTATCCCCTTGGAATTATTTTTTTATATAAATATATATGTATGTGTATGTATGTATGTATGTATATCTATATTTAGATATTTTAGATATATGATTGCATATGTATGTGTATATTTACAACTACTATTACCTATCTATCTATCTATCTATCTATCTATCTATCTATCTATATATCTATCTATCTATATATATATATATATATATATAATAAAAAGGCTTAAACACTAATATTCCATGGTTATAATTTATTCCATTGGAATCGTAAATATGATGCAATACATCTTTCCGAAACTTCCACTGTACTATCCACTGATTGACACCAAAATACTTTGAAATGTTTGTACTAGAGTTTCCGGGGAGAATACCAAAAAAGTGCATAATACCGTTTATAAATTCCTGTCGCAGCGGGTTGCGTCATGGTGTTCTTTTTCTCAAAGACGGTGATCAATTGACATTAATATATTGTGCAATCGGCAAAATCATTGAAGAAACGCGTTTCCAAAAGTAAAAATACAATTTACCCATCACACACACACTATATATATATATATATATATATATATATATATATATATATGTATATATATATATATGTATGTATGTATATAACATGCAGATTAACACTGTCTTAGATTTGCTAAGAGAAAACTAAAACGAAAACATTAAATGATGTCTGAACAAATCATAGAAAATACACACATACACACACACACACACACATATATATATATATAGAGAGAGAGACGATTGCGTGTAGCATGAAACAGCCTGTCGCCTCTGAGTGTTGACTTCAATGTTGACGTTTATATTTATATTTACATACGCTCTCTGATATTGAGCACTTTATCCCATAAATATAGCACATCTTAAAATTATATTTCTTCACACACACACACACACACATATATATATATATATAGAAAAATAGGAAAGAACCGTTAGATTATTAATCCAAAGTTCTTTTCAAAGAATGTACAACTGTTTGTATTGCTGGTATTATTTTTTTTTTTAATTTAATGCTGATAATAAGTTTTCGTTCAAAAATTATTGCAGTAATATTTTTTTTTTACAAAATATTTCTGGTATTAAAACCTATTTTTACACAAGTCTGGGTGTTAACTATTTGCCCATAGATGGGACCCTAACAGGTGCTACCACCCTGGGTCACGGGGAACCTAGGAACACCATCAATTAAGAAGTAGTTCCACGCTCCTCAAAACCTCCTGATTAGAGGCCTTGCTGTTGGGCGTAGTTTATCGTCTTACCCAGGTTGCGCATGTAGTTTAACGTCATACACAGGACGTCCAAATTGTCAACTATCAGAATTTTATTCCAGAAGATTCTTTCTCTATCTGAGAACTTTCAGCATCTCTTCGTGGTATTCAGATACGTAAACGAATTTTATATAGATATCAGCAAATGGAAATAGCTAATAAAATCATATTCATATATTTTGCCTGGAACAGCGGTGATTGGTCGAAATACTGCGTTTCAGGAATTGACGCTAACCTTTCCCAAATAACTTGCGGATAGACATGTTATCCAGGAAGAGGTTTTAGAGGCGGCTTTATTTAGTCACTTTGCCGATAAGCCTGTTTGGTACTTTCGCGCTGAATCTTATAAAAAGAAACACGGTGATCTATGTTGAAAGAGGACAGCACGGACGTCAGCAATATTGCCCGAAAGGGGGGACAATCCACTTCTAATGCCATCACCGAAAATAGAAAGAGAAATATTTCTTTGAACGAAGCCAGCCAATTTGTTGCCCTGCTAAAGTGTTAAATTTAACATCGGTGAATAAACAATGCCCGGGAGATGGTAAAACGCACTGCGGAGAGACGATGCTGATGATAGGGCATGGAAGTAGAAGGGATTAAAAGAGAGATATTTGGCTGGAAGATGTGGAAAAGAAAGAAACGACACCCTCAAAAGACATGTAATATTAACGATGTAAGCAGAACAACAAAACTGCTCAGAACATTTCAGCCAAAGTTTAAAAGACGACAATAGTGCAGAATGCACTTAGGTGAGAACAGGAATCAAAAAATATCCATAATGAAATTAAAAGCACGCTGGAAATAATTTCATAAATCTGCTTGCGCGGAGGACACCTGAAAAGTGAATCAGATTCCAGAAAAATTAACGATGCAACCAAAGATAAGTATCGGGTAGTCTATTGATTAATTTTGTTAGTTTTTTTTTTGTCTTTTTTTTTATTGATTTTGTTTTTCATTTACGGCTTTGTTCGTTATTTGGAGGCAACAAGTATTTTGGTGTGTAAAAATAATTATGTACATTATTTACATTATTCGGACTATTGTCTCCATCTTTGTCGACATATTTATTACCGCGTTTCGGCCGTTGTACGCTCCGGTCTTCTTCAGGTGGTTGGAATGTCGAACTGAACACTTTATTTCGTTCACTGGGGTAGAATGTTCTAGTTAATTTTTGATGTTATCAATAAATGTTATTTCCAGAGCTCATATTTCAATATGAGCACTGGTAGAAATGGTTGCTGTAGACATTAGGTTTATAATACACAGAAATTCATATACAAATGCCGTCAAGGACATGGCACAGTGGATAAAGGCGTTTGTTTAGATCCAGTGACAGGACCCAAAGTTTGTGACCCGGTTAAGGCAGTGGAGAACTTTCAGAGGGAAATTAACGGGTGATAACTGTTAACGGACATCCATTAAACATGGCACGTGGAACTAGAACAGTCTACCCCAGTGAGCGAGATAAAGGATTCCGTTCGATATTCCTGAAGAAGGCTGGAAGGTCGAAACGTTGTAATAAATATGGCGACAAAGATAAGGACGATAGTCCGAATAATGTAAATAATGTACACAATATCTCATCTCAGAAATATAGACAGAGAGAATAATTATTTTAGTTTATTTTTTCGAATAAATATTGTCAATTCGTTCAGAAATTTCTAAACTAACAAGTATATACAAAAGTTTGAGAAGCCTTCGTTCGAAAGTCTAACATCATATGTGACCAATGATGCTGATTGCCATATCTTTTTATAGATAGAACCCAAATTTTTAGAAGATGAAAATTTCTGTTTGAATTTCTTGGATGAGGAGTTATCCTTATTTACCCTATTTACATACGGACTATTATCCTCATCTTTTAACTTCATTTTTCTTACCGTCCTGTTTTTCTTTAGATCTATATTGATCTGTATAACCTGCAATGAATTGTGAACGGAACCCTTTATTTAATCAACGGGAATAGACTGTTCTCGTCCCACTGCTCGTATCTAGGGTTATCGTCTACTTATTTTTAGTTCGTACTGTACAGTTATTGCTCGCATGTTTCCAAGTGTATGTTGATCCGATTACAGATTATTACTAACAAAACCCTTTATTAAATCTACAGGTGCAGAGTTTTCTCGTTTCCCTGTATATGTTTAGGGATAACTCGTATATTTCTTATTTTAGTACGGATCAATTATTGCTATCCCCTATTCTACTGAGTTCAAGTACACACTGCCCGAACCCAGAATTGAGCAAACCATTACTGTCTCTAAATTCCCGAACTAAGTAATTGATCCACTAGGCTCTTGTCCCATAGTACTCAAATATGAACTGCTTGACCCCTGTATTGAATACACAATGACTATAGCACCAAATTCACGAAACAACTCCTTAATTTTCTAGACTATTGTACCGTAGGCCTCAAAATATGGTTGGATATCAGCTGGCTCATACCATATCCTGAGGATGAGCTCTTACCGCCCAAGGGACTAGTTTCACTAATGACCGTTAGCCAAGAGAGCAAGAAAAAGCGAAGCCATGTAGTGGATCACAGAGATTTAAACGAGTACGTAGGCGCGGTCACGGCTAGTTCGGATATCTGTGCGGACAAGGTAAGGGAATGACGACATCGGGTGTGCAATATATCGCTGTTAGACCTTCAGAGAGCTTACCTACTGTTCCACTTACACTGGTCTTACTGAATGGCCGGAGGTACTGCCTTACACGATTAGGCTTCGGTCTCAATGTGGCGCCTCTTATAATGAAGGCAATTATCAAGACCGTACTGTTGCAGGATGAAGCAATCCAAGATGTCACTTATGCATACATAGATGACATCTTCGTCGATGAAAATATGGTTTCCGTGGCGCACATCAGAAAGAATATATCTGACTTTGAATGGACCTGATTGAACTCAAAACATTCCCGAACCAACCACCATAACATTAAAAAATAAACCTTTTTAGGATTAAGTTAACCTATTATAAAACATTTTATAATTATAGTGAATAGTGACAGAATGGTTGATAGATACAAACGGGCTCCACAGACACAAAGATATGAAAATAGACTGACAGATATTCAAAAGATGGATTCTTTGGAAAAAATTCTGTGATTGATAATGACAGATTGATAGATAACGAAAAATTATATATCTCTTAACCACAAACTGGTATTGCTAAATATATGGAACGTAAAACGAAACATAGGCAAATTTTCTTCCATTTGTCGGCATTTCCGGTAAAATCCATGGTTCTTAGAGCCTGGAGTGGTGATCAGCAAATTGGCTCTTACAGGTCGGAGAAAGTGATTTCCGTGAATGTGAGAGGCATGTTAAGATTGCCAACATAAATCCATAAAATATTAAATGCAAGGCTTGTTTAAATAGGAAAAGCTATTGCATCTAAATACGGAGTATTACTTAAAAAATACTACAACTATGACAATCCAAGGATCTCAGTAACACATACAGATTTAAGAAAACATAACAGCGAATAGCACACTGGGAAACACAAAAAACAGAATATGAAAAAAATCAAGTTTAATAGACACGATGCCAGGCTTTTAATTCAAGTCAATATTTTCAAAATATCTTTTTAAACAATCGATAATCTCAGGACTTGCTTATATTTGTATTATGAATGACTATGTGAATATCAGCTTATTAAATTGCTTTTTACAAAATGCTTGACAGATTTGAACGTAACGCAATCGGAGGTTGTTCAGTCGTATTTCAAATAAATTGATATAATAATATTGAAATAAATATCATAAAGTATATATATATATATATATATATATATATATATATATATATATATATATGCAGGTAAAATGAGATAAATGCAGAATAATTCCACTATCCGTAACATTTAATTTGAATGTGGGCTCAATACTTATGTTTAAAACAGAAACATGTTAAAATTCGCTATACAATGGCAATTATGCTTAAACAATACAAATGTGTCTCCTCGGGCAATGGTAAACTACTTGCATTCCGATTTCTGGTCTGCTAGGTTTGATAATTCTAGTAGGTAGTTTGATCACAAAGTCTGGTTTATTATCTTTAATTAGGACACACGGATCCTTTGGTACAAAGCTTACTAACCTTATTGCTAATTTTATCATGGATTTTTTTAAAGTCAATGTTAATTCTATTAACTAAATTAATAGTGTCAATATTCCTTATAATTTTTAGTTATTTTTTTAATTAAAGCATTATATTCTTTATGATTAAAATTTATAAAATTAGCAGATTTAACAAAGATCATTAGATTACCATATATGTATATAAATACATAGTGGATAGTGGTTCGGTTTGTGGAAACGGAGAGATTCGAGTTCGAATTCCGGTCGAACCTATCACATTCACTTACGTGCTAATAGCCTTGGGAAATGTATTGATACTCTTCTTCTCCAACAAGCTGTGGGTAAATAGCAGGACAGGCTCGGTTCTATGGCCTTGGATGGTAACTGGTGTAGAAGGACAACGACTCTGAATTCAAATACTGCAGAGGCTTGTTTGGGGACCTTGTGGCACGTAGTGCACCAGGTCTCTGTATTCGGCCCTTCAAAAAGTGTGCTTGGTTTTGCAAAATGACTTCACCATTATAATCAAATCATATGTGCTGATGCCTGGGCTGTCGGTTCCTAGAACTGAGTTGCTTGACCCTCATACATCGAATATGACGAGGGGTCCACCATATATATATATATATATATATATATATATATATATATATATATATATACGCTTTTTTGAATAATATAGACAGATTTTGTCTACTTATTCTTATATACTTGCTTTCAAGCTGTCTAATCCGTTTCTTCATATTGTGATGAAATCCATCAATGAAAGCGCCGAATTTGTTTTTTTTTTTTTTTAACCCAATTAGTTTTTCAAAATTTTTAAGATCATCTTTCGCAGCCGTTTCTTATAAACCAAGACCACACCGATGAGAATCGGGCATAACTTCCCAGCTCTTTCTGAATGGCATGTCATTGAGAGACAGCCCGTTACGGATCAGTTCCCAGGTAAGCGAAAACTCAGGGTTGATGAGGTAATTCGCCTGGAACAGATAGAGCTCAATTCGGTCGCCGACAATCCGAGCAGTGTAGCCCACACAGTGGGTATGATAGGACCCCCTCCACCAGTTCCGATTAATTGTCCCTCTACGCCGTGAAAGATCCCTGGACGAAGGAGTAGCAAAAACCATCCTCGAGGCTTGTCGGTGACTCACCAAATGTGACATTCCCAGCAGACATGAACCGGACGTTGGACACAGACGGCTCTGCGGACGTTCGACTTAAGTCCACGACACATAAACGAGAACAACTTCGATCAACTTCCAACGGTCCCAGCGGAAAGGGAGTACTGACAATCGGCAAAGGATGAATGGAAAGATGTACAAGGAAACACTTCAGCACTGCAATTTAAAGAAAATCTTCGGAGTCAAGTCTGGAAAGACGCTTTTATCTTTGCCGGTATCTCCGACCGATTCTACTCCAGCTAGAGATCTATCCCAAACCCCACTCCAAAAATTCGGACGGAGCGGTCAGTCCAACTGAAGTGACCCAGAAAAGCAACGCCGTTCCAAGAATCTAAACACAAGCCGGAAGATGTGTTGCAATTAATTTTGGTCTCCGCAACCTTCTGATA